TACTTGCCCATAAAGTGCAAGGCAGCCGCACACGCGGCTACCGATGAGTTCCCCGCGCTCTGCAGTAGGAGCCCATTTCTTCACATCTTCAGACGTTCGTGGTCTGGTCACCGCCACCACCGCGCTCGCCCAGATGACGGCACTTAAGTTTAAATAAACTAATCACTAATCAGGGAGGTAGAAATCGGCCCCAGAGCTGCTCGTTTCGGGTCGGGGGTTTTACGAGGTGGTGGTGGTGGTGGTGGTGCGGATGGCGTGCTTCTCGCTCCCCTCCCCGCCCAGCCCGCCGTGTGCATGTGGATGTGGGTCAGCAGGGAGCAGCGCTCCGCTCCGGGCCGGGGAAGGCGGCGTGGTGCGGTATGGGCACTCACTCGCAATTCAATTACAATCAGTTTAGCTCACACTCAGCACCGCGGCGAATGGAGAGGCCGCCGCCGCCGCCAGCCACCCCGCACTCTTGTGCCTGCACTACTGGAGAGTGTGCGAATTTCACGCGTTAATTATTTGCTCACGTCCAGCAGGTGACTGACAGTCTGTGTGCAATCATGCCGTGCAGCTTACACCAGGCCCGCGAGCCCGCACCCGCTGCTTACACCAACAACACACACACAACACGAGGGCAAACATTGCGTGTACTGCCGTCTCGACGGCAAATTTGGCTTTGTCCGCCTGTATGACACCTCTCCTGCTGTGTGCCTGGCGGTGGTCGCGGCCGCTGTCAAACATCGACTCTCCCTCTCTCCGTCGCTCTCCTTTGTGCCGGGTGCAAGGCCGTGCCCCCCACCCCCATCCCCCACACAATGCACTTCTTCTGCTGGGCCGCAAAGTGCACTCGCCGGTGAGAAAGGCAGTGTAGCAGCGAGGGCCTGCGAAACAATGCCTGTAATGAGGTTGAGCTAGCGCTAGAGTTACAAATAAAATGTCAAAACTAAAAGAAAGATGCGATGCGATTTTTGAGATTTTTGTATTTACATTTGTTTTTGTGTTACGTTTGTCTCGCAAATAGTTGTGCGCAGTGCTTGGACGTTGCACCACCTGGA